GCATGACATTTAAAAAATTGACCCAATGCTGCCTGGGTTGGCATGTTCATACATGTCATGCCCACTCAGTTTAGTTTCTTAATTGTCTCTACACAAAGATGGTTCTATGAGTACTTGAGGCCTACCATGCTAGCACTTTTACCATCAATTTTTGCATTTCTATATGAACTTTTTGTTTGGTAATGACGAACTGACCCTATCACACTACTTAGGCAGAAAACATTGCCATATAAACAAACATGGCGCTATCGGAGTGAGGTCCAAGGAATCACACACACACTTTCATATACATAATATTGTTTTAAAGAAATATTATTATGTATCTTGTAGATACAAATGTTCTAAAATATGAGCTCATGTTTTCATTCACTGATTCTACCTAATTTATCATATAAAAAAATATTCTAGCTGTAAAGATCCTCTGTAGCACAAGATCAAAAAGAAAATTCGTCAGACGGAAACAGTCGTAACTGTCTTCCTCTGGGAGGTGTTCCGATTGCAATGATTGGAGAAAGCCTCAAATTCAGACAGAAACAAAAAAATTGACGAAAAAGAGCTAGTGTGATAGGGTCTTCAGTCACCAAGGAGTTAATTACTAGTAAGACATATATCACCTATTTAACCTTTTCCTATATTTTCAGAAATATTTCTTTTAATTTTTATTTCATCATTATAATGTCTATAATAATAACGACAAAATCAATATTGATAGCATTAGTAAAAATTGCCTTTTTCCTGAAAACCCAAGGAAAAGGGAAATAAGGTGAGATCACAAGATCTTGTTGTTTCCTTGGTGACTGAGCACTTGTGGAGAAATCTTGCGAACTAGAATGAACATCACATTTTCCTGGTGGCACTAGGTGGGGAAGAAGAGGAAGAAAGATAGTAACAAAAAGAGGAATCAAAGGAAAAAGACAGTAAAGGAGAAAAAAGAGCAAGGAGAAAAAGGAAAAGAAAAAAGAAAAGTGAAAAAAGCCATTATTTCAAAACTTACCTTCCGTGAGTACCGCATGTAAGGCATGAGTGGCTTGTCTGGGGCCTTGGGAGGTTTTGGGATCCTTCCCTCTCCGCTGTGCTGGAATCCACAAAGGTTGGGTTCTGTAAGCTCTGACTACAACAGAACTGTCTCTTTCTCACTCACAGATAGGTGATTAAGAACAAATACATTTGGGACAAGAAAGGAAGAAATACAGGGAGCTGAAACAGTGATTACTGATCTTCATTTCTACATGCGAACTGGTTATTGAAGTCAGTTGTATACGATTATTACCAATATAATTCATTTCTATTAGGATTTACTTAAAATGGAAGGTAGGCTAATAATATTGCAAAAAGAAATTGGAGGAAAGTGGGAATACAAATCAAGCAATGACTTAATGTCCTTAACAGTAACTTATCAAAGAAGATATAGTATGCAGAATACTTGATGCTTTCAGCATCTTATCTGCGATATCTTTAAAGAATTCTACTTGAGGAAAAATGTGGAGGAAGGGTAGAATTAAGTCTTTTAATTACTTAATATACTTAAAAGTAGTTACCGGTTGCGTCTTACAATCTTACTGGCTAATCAAATTTAATCAAATGGATGGTGGGATAAGCTTTACCAACAACATCAATGAACTTGTTCTCATCAACATCTGCTATGATAATCAAAACCAAAAATGCAAAAACATGCAATAAATAATATCAGCAGCAGTATTATCATGAAAATATCACACTTTTTCTTTTCTTCTTTTTCATTTGTTTATTAACACATATTTCACAGAACTAATGACGCACCGATCTCTTATAAGTACCTTACTCCCCTTCCCAGTCCCCATCTTCTGCGGGTTAAAGGCTGGGTTGCCATGGTGTGGGGTCGTGAAGGGGCTGGGAACGTTGGCCTCACCCACTCCTTTGGAGGAGGAGGGGGTGCTAGGGGTGCGCGCCAGTCGGTCTGCAGGGCGGCCCGTAGGGGAGAAGCAAACAAGCAGAAAATAATGACAAACACGTGGTGGGCCTTTCAAAACGACTAAAAACATAAATAAACAAGAACTGAAAAAATTGCAATCTTCAAGTTTTTTTTTTCTCCTACACCCCTTCTCCTTCCATATCAAACGATACCTATAAGGAATGGGTATAATGACTGCTAATACTTTTCTGCTTTCATTTATTTAAAAAAGCAAAATCCTCTAAACCTGCAAGAGAACAATTAAAAGAAATAAAAGACTGTAGGTTTCTCAGTACACAAAAACATCAGATAACTTAACAATATACAAAAACTAAGTATGACCTCAGAAATGTGAAACATTTTTCTAAGAGATAATAAGAAATAACAAGAATAATTGTGAGAAGTGAAGAGAAATGAGAATGAGAAATAGTGAAAGTCACAGAACAGCAATACATCAATTACACAATAACAATCTAGAACAAAAGTTGTCCTCTATTTTGGTTAAAAGACTTTAGATATTAAGGCAGAGCACAGCCAAGGTAAACAGCAAGCAAAAGCAACACTGAATGATGGTACTTCTTTTAACCACTAGCCGACGGGTGGCATGTACGTACATGCCATGGCTGATGTGGACCGAAAAACAGATGGCATCATGTCCAGTCCCGTGCCACTGGCTCGTTGGAACGAGTTTGTTTTTTCTCCAATAGTAACGGCTTCATTTATCTGGTAAAGATTTTGGCAATAGAACCTATAATGAAGGTACACCTACAAACGTATAATACTTTTATGAATTATAGAAAAATACAGAGCTTTTAGGTGCCAAATGTTGCTCGCAAACTACCGAACTAGCCAGGCACAAACGGGAAACTGCCGATGCATGCCAACAATCCCATTATTATGTCCACTTACCAAATTTTACACCCGTTGGCATTGGTTTAATATAGATAAGATGTTGAAACTTGTTTCTTGCAAGAAAAATGAACAAATAAAATAAATCATAAAAATTGTGACTACTCTTGAGAATTATCTACAAACACATCAAAGTAATGTTTTTGTAACTGATTTGCATTTCTGAGTTGCACATGAACTTCGAATATTAAAAGCAATTTCTGAATTATGTTACGTAGATACAAGTAACACAAAAATGGTCTAGTAAAGAAAAAATGCTAGTAACAAAATATAAGAAAAAACAACCAATTAAAATATTTGTATTAGCAATATTAAAAGATAATATTCAAAGTAATAACAATTATAGTCAAAACTAATCAAAAGAAACAAAAATAATGACAAAAAAGAAAAATAACAACAATAATAATGATAACAAAATAATGAAAAATAACAATAAGAAAAAAAGGTGGCACATCTGCTAACATGTTTACATTCCTGTGCTAATGCACATGAAATTGCTTGCATTTGCATATCATATTCATCTTGCCAGTACTAGGATACAATCGGGATAAATGAGAAAGTACTTGATGCTTTCCAAATACTAATGCACGTGAAATTGCTTGCATTTGCATATTATATTCATCTTGCCAGTACTAGGATACAATCGGGATAAATGAGAAAGTACTTGATGCTTTCCAAATAATAATTACAAAAGGGGGAGGAAAAAAGGGGTTGAAGTAGGAGGAGGAGGAGATAATGAAGAAACATAAAAAGGAAGAAAACAAGAGAAAAAACTTCTTTATCTGTCTTTGCTTCTTGCAAGATAGTGCTTGCAGTGCCATCTGCATGCTTACATTCCAATATAAAGTCACCCATTCAATTGTGGAATAATGAGCCAGATATAGTGTGTTCCTTGATGTGCAAACATCCCTATTCTGAGAAATGGAGGAACAATGATTACCCTCCACAAAATTCAATTAATAAAAACAATTAAAAATCCAATTATGATGATAATATGATAAACACAGTGCAATAGCTTTAAGTATTTTTTAATTCACTATTGAGCTATGTTATTTTAAACTCTGATGTCTATAAATGCAATTTCACCAAAAATGTAACAGTGCAGAATAGTCAGAAGGAATGAATGCAGAAAAAGCATGCATGCTTCCCTGCATACTCCAAGCACAGCATGCAAACAGCAACTGCCAACATCTACTACTTCTAATCAATATTTCTCTCCCCTTCTTTAAAGTAAACAAGTCAACCCTATCTCTCCAGCACTAATCCAGTATAGAAGATTCAGTCACCACCTCTTGCTTGCACATTCCACCAACTGCCAAGATCTTTTATGCATGTTTACTTGGGGTGAAGAAGTAATGACTGGAAACAAACTAGCACAAAAAGGCAGAAACATGAGTATATCATAATTATAAATATAAATACAAAAAAGAAAGAAAGAAAAAAAAGAAAGGCCAAAAACAAAAAAAAACAAAAACAAATCAGAAACAAATTTTCATCAATTCATCAAACTTGCATGATTCACAAGTGGCTTTCAGTCTGTAACATCCATTGGGAGTGGTAAAGATTGCAACATTCAGTAAGGGGCACAAAGGGGAGTGGGCAACTGGGAGCAGGGGGATGGGGGTGGGGGCGGTCATGGGCCGACATTCAGGTTAAAAAGAAAGCTCTGAGGGGGATAAGGGGGCCAAGTGGTGGGCTAGCTGTGGTCATGGTGGGATTTTCACTGTTACCTTTCGAACTCCCTGAGCCTCCGTTCCCTGAAGAGGTGGAGGAGGATGAGGTCGTGGTGGCTTGGGGGGAGAGAGAGAAAATGGGGGAGGGTGATTACGCTGGCACAATACAAACGGGGGTGGGCACGGTGTATTTGGTAATGGCCAGAGACCAGATAACTAGGACCAGAGCCAGACAGAGACAGGCTGATCAGCTGGCTAGTCTCAAGGCAGTACTGACAATAAAAAAAAAAATAAAAAGAAAAAATGAATAAATACTGAACAAATCTACAGCATTGTTCCCATTCTTTGCTCAGAGGCACAGAACATTAGCTTTCTTTCTCTCTAGCATGTCTTAGGGGGTACAAAGGTGGTCATGAGATTTAGGAACTTTGTGTAATGATGACTCAAGGGTTACAGAAGCAGAAAGATGGGTTGAGATGAGAACAGAA